GCGCTTGGCATCGCCGCTGTGAGGCTTCAGGAAGCAGGAGTATGCAAAGAGCCAGAGAGACTTTAGCAAGCTGGGGTTATCAGCAGTCTTCTCGGGCTTGGACTTGTGGCTGGTCAGGCACACGCCCACAAAGAGGACGACGGCAGCACCAGCGATGTAGATTTTGGCTTGCGGCATTGCCGCCAGAATGTTACCACCAGGAAAATCCATGGTACTCTCGCATTGCTTTGATTGCAGCGAAAGAGGAACGGTTGAATGTTGCCACCGATTGTCGGGGTTGTTGAATGAACAAGAGACAAGTCAGTGACAAAGAAGAAGAGGAAACAAGGGGACAGCTGGGCCTGGTCTTGTGAACAAGAGCGTTGTTATAAGCCCTCGGATGAAACCGCTCTGGGCGTGGCATTGCGTCCATCGTTATCTCCTCCCTCTTCGGCCATGACAACCCGGTGCTCGTTCCTGCGGCTTCCACCAAGCAAATCGAGGGGTCCGAGCCTTGAGCAGGCCAGCACAATAGCCACTTCTGCTCCCGAGAAACGAGGGGTACTCGAGGCCGATCGTTTCGGGGCCACAGCACGCGGCGTTGCGAGCGGAAAAGGCAGCATTGTCCAATACGATGCCGAGAACGCGGCACTCTCCCTCCACGCAGACCCTGAGGCGTAGGCTGCATGCGACATACTACCCCGCTAGCGTGACTGCGATGCCCCTCAGCAACCGGGGAGTGTCCCGAGCGTCTGCGAAAATGTTAGGCCTGGCAGTTGACCTCCTAGGGCCGCTCTGCCGAAGCCCGGGAGATCGAGGAATTCCCGAACGTCATATCAAGCATGCAGGTGGTGTTGAGGGGACAAACGTCGACAAGTGGAGTCCAAAGCATGGGCGTCGGAGGCATGGGGGCCCCTTGCTTCCGGGTGGGGCAATGCAGACCGGTCTCGTCCAATCATTCGGACCACATGTCTGCATGTCTGGGGAAGGAGCCACCCTACGATCTCCAGTTCCAAGCTGACGATATAACATAGCGAGGCATAACAAGAGCCTCGAGCTAGAGTTTAGCGTGGCTTGGGGACTCGCTACTAACCAGCCAAGTCTGACCCACGACTCTTTTCTGGCGGCTGTTTCGAACCGTTCTTGTTGTATTGCATTTGCCCTAAATTCACTCTTTGACCTGCAGGAAGACGGTCCTTGCATCGTGAATGGTACCAGTGCCGGAAACATGGCCAGGATAGATGTTCGAACCTTCCAAGGTAGTTTGGACATCAATGTTGAACTTGAGTCTCGTGAGGGTTGCCTCCCTTTATTGCGCCAACACTCTAAAAGTCCAAAACTCAACTAGACACATGCGTCGACACACCGCAATCGAGGACACGACAAGTTGTTGCACGTGTTCCGGATTCGCCCCAGCAATGGTCAGGATCTAAATTGTTCAGATTGCACAGACGCCGGTAATCGCTGATTGCACTTTTCCCACCCCAGAAGTTCTGTCACCTGCACACACTGGCGTCTGCTCTGCTGAACGAACCAGATGGGCTGATATCCTGTGGCTCCCAAGCCGTGGCGCCATTGTTTTCTCGTCCACTTCCTGTGTTTTTTTTGTGCGGGGTTCTCCGTTCCTGGGCGAGAGATATCTAGATGACTTGCCGGTCCGGGCCGTGGGAGTCTCCCGCGTGACTGCTTGTTTTGCCGGTTCAACGCCACCAAATAGCATCGGCCATGCCATCACAGTTTTTGGGGGGATTCGCGGCTTGTTTGAGCCGAACTGTTATGTCGACATGTGCGGATTAAAAGACAAAGATGATGCTATGCAGCAAGGCATACGCACCTTAGGTAGCAGCATTGGGCCCGCCAGATGCATATCGTGTATTGATGCATAACTCGAATTACATGCCCCACTATAGCAGATTCTCAACCTATGTCCCACCAACTCCCCCAGGAGAACGACGACATTACGGGGTAGTCATTCTAGAAATCTACCCTGGCGTACACAATCACACACAAGCGGCCCTTCCGAGAGTCACCTCTCAGCCATGATCCGGACTCCGCTCCAAACCGCCTTTGCGCGGTCGACGACGACAACGACAAGGGCAGCAAAGACTGACCTCGCCCGGGTGGCTGACGGCACACCTGCCACGATCCGCAGCTTCTCCGCTGCCCAGCGACTTGCCGCAAACACTAGCGATGACAACAGGAGCAGCGCTTCCACTTCTTCCTCTGTTTCAACAGCGACATCGAAGCCGACGTTAAATAACCGCTCAAGGGCCAGCGCTGCAGTCGATGGACTGATCAACAAGGCCGAGCAGAGCGTGCTGAACCTGCGGAAAATACCATCATCGCCAGTGCCCGGAAGAGTGGGAAGTCCAAATGTGATCCGCGTCACCAGCTTGCCTGGTCGGGGGCGCGGCATGGGCGGTGCTTTTGCCTCCGGTCCAAGAAACCCCCCTGGGCCGAGCGGCGTGACTGAGCGGCCGGGAGTCAACTACAACTACAACGACAGGCAATCAAGACCCCCGCAAAACACACCACTCAACGTCGGCATAAATGTATCGGGAGACAACGGTCAGAACTCTTTCCGAAAGTTTGGAGGCGGTGGAGGTGGTGGTGGCGGCGGCATGACGTTCCGCGGCGGACGCCCAGGCCGTTTCGGCAAGAGCGGACGCGGAAAACGAGGCGGGGACGGTGGAGGGCGTGGCGAGGGTAGGGACGGCGAAGGCCGAGACGGTGAAAGACAGGATACGCGCCGGCTCGACCCGCTGTTCGTCACCGAGGAAGAAGCTGCGTATGTGGCGCGCCTTGAGCAAGGTGTTGAGCACACATACGATCCGACATTCAATCTCGACTCTCTGCACGGCTATGCGCCCGCGGTAGCCACGACGTCGAGCCCCTTTGGCTATGCGGCGACGGCGGTCGCCAGCGCGCGCGTGCTCGGTGGCGGGCGACCTTTCGAGCACGAGAACCATGTCCTGCCCCACGATGCGCTGGCGAGCGCGACTAAGGGCACAGGCGTTTACTTCCCGAGCGCGGAGTCGCGCGCTTGGACGCAGGAGTTCTCTGGTGCCGGAGCACCAGACTACAGCAAGGGTGCGAGCGGCGAGACGAGGACCGCCGTACTCGAGGCCGCGCTGCAGGGCAAGTACGACTCCCCTCGGCCCGTGGCGCTAGGCGACACGCTCGCGCTAGTGGAAAACTACACCAAGAAGGACACGCGTGCGTTTGGGCAGCCGGCGCGCACGATCCAGGAAAAGATCAGAAGCCTGCTGCCGCAGAAGGCGGGTACCACAGGTGCTACCAAGAGTCAGGACACGACGGCCAGTGGCAACGGGTCAAAGATACGAGATAACAAGGCGTAAACCTTTTCCACGGGTCAGATCACCGTCCAACAGAAACACAGACGTCGATTACGAGAGCTGGATATGGTAGATCTATCTCTACACTCATTAAGCCGGCAGGGAGGGCGTATCGCTACGAAAATACATGTGCTCTGGCATGTCCTGGGGCTAAATGAGATGGACATGAAGAACTGTAATAACAGCAACACCTGTAATGTACATGTATGAGCAAAAAAAAGTTTTAGATGGCTGGATCTTCCATTCCAATAATGAGGTCTGACCACCGCTTGCAAGCGAATTTTGCGGATCTGTATAAAACAATTTACTGTTTCCGTGAGTAAATAAACGCTAGAGTTTCGCAAGCATATATCGGCTTTAGGCTGTGCAATAATACCTAGCAATCATATTCAGGTGCGTGGTAAATCAGTGACAAAATTATGCTTAAGACACCTGTGCATTCTTCATCGTCTCCTTCTCCGTGCTGTCAATCTCGGTATTCATGCCTTTGATGACCTTCTCGAGCTCCTTGTCAGCAAGCTTCTTGTCATCCGCCAGGATGAGCTTGTTCTTTGCCCACGTTGTGTGCTGCTTGTCGCGCTTCTGGCGGATCAGCTTGACGCGCGCGCGCCAGTCATGACAGATGGACTTGATCCGCCTTGCCATGTCATCCGGCTTCTCGGCCTCGATCTTGAGCACCAGCTCGAGCTCATTGTCCGGGTCCCGTTGCGGCTGCTGGTTGAAGTCGGCGCTCGCCTGGATCGCCGACATGACGGGCTTGACGTACGCGGCCTCATGCAGGATGACGCTGATGGTCCGGCCGCCCTTGGGCACGACCTGGCCCAGCTCCCGTAGCGGGTACGACTCCCCCGTTGCCTTGTCCGTCGTGACCTGCAGCGCGCTGATGACGTCCGGGTTAAATCGCCCGCCCGCGCGACACTTCTTGAGCTTCTCGATAAAGTGCTCTGAATGCTTCTCGTAGCGAGCCTTGACGTCGGCAAAGTTAAGCGGGTCTTCTGGGTTCGCGGCCGGTGCACCCTTGGGACCGTCGTCTTCTTCTCCTGCTGCTGCTCCTGAGGCTGGTGCCACGTGCTTGCCCTTGCCACCACTTCCACCCCGGCCGCTTTTGGTGTCTTCTACCTGGTTCTTGTCTCGCGACTTCTTCGAGAAGGCGGATGTGCTGTGGATTGCCCGGCGCGCACTACTGCCATAGGATTGCGCTCCATGTTGCTGAAGTAGCTGATGTTGCGTCGCAGAAGGCGGGCGAGCGGCGGTGAATTGGGAGAAGGTTGTGCTGTAGGGCGCTGTCGCTCTTAATGCCGGTGATGAAGCTCGAGCATTCTGTCTGTGGTACAAAGTCGTGTTAGTCTCCTCGAGATATGGCCGGTACAAGTAGAAATTCTTTAATGATAGGGACTGCTAACGAGCTCAATCGGAATGGCACACTCACAATCTAGCGAGCTCGTAGCGCACAAGGCTGCCTTGCAGCAGTGTTCTGGCTGTCCTCGCCCTGTTATTCATGGTTGTTTGAAGGTTGTTGTTTGTGATCAAAGTCCCCGCACGCAAGCGGAGCTGGTCGAGGAAGCTCGGGAAGCTTTCACAAGTGGGCACTGTTCTGTTGCACGACCCAATCGTAACGTCTATAGATTACTCTATAAGCCGCCGGCCAGACATATCCAAAGTGACGGTCGATTGGCCCAGTGGTTAAGGCATTCGCTTTACAATCTCGCAATAGAGAGAATATCGCGAAGGATCGCAGGTTCGATCCCTGCATCGATCAGTTTTGCCATTTTTTGTTAATGGTTACGATATTGTCAAGTTGCTTTTGTTTTGCATACTTCCAGTCAGCTGTGCTGGAAGTAGATTGTGGAAGCAGGCTGTGCTGACGAACCCATGCCAGCTAGACTTTTGTGACACTTTGCCATGAAAAGGCGTCCATGGGCCTTGATGTCTCTGCGTTCGGTAATCGTTCGTTGTCAAGTGAGTGTAGAAAACCGGCAACCCAAAGCTCCCGTCATCCGCGATGCAGCCACCACTAGAGGCTGGCAATTTCAGTCCATCATAATCTACGTGTGGTCCTACAGAAGTGTTACAAGACAAAAATACATCCAGTTCCGTCAGCCGAGGCTCATTTTCTTCTCCCTAGTATACACACAATTCGAGAGCCGGGCTAAATCATTGTGTTCACAGACAGCAACTGCACGTTACTTCTTCTCAGCATTGCTGTTGTTATCGGCGGCCTTCTCACCTGTGCGGAACGCCCCTGAAACGCGATCCCAGACTGTCTCCTCCCCTCTCTGCTTCCGCTCCGCTCGTTCTCTATCTTGCTGCTCCCAGATCCCGTGCACTCTGGCCGAGATCTCGGCCTTGGATCGAAACTCAGCTCTGACAGCGGCCTCCTCAGCTGCCCGCTCCTCCTCGGGCACCTTGAGCAACCGCTCGCGAAGATCTGTCTGTTGCTCGGGCGTCAGATCGCGCTCGGGACCTAGGCTACGGACCGCCTGCTTGGGGATGAGAGGCTCGAAGGTCGGTATTGGCCGGCCCTCGGCCTTTGCGGCGTCGATCTCGGCCTCCTGGGCCTGCATTTTTAGGTATAGCGAATCGGCATGCATCTGAATCTCTTCCTCGAGTTGTGGGGAGCGGTCGGCCGTGGATAGGTAGCCAAGGGCCTTTAATAACCTCTGCAGCATGACGGGGTTTCAGCATTAGTTTTCTGGACGGCTTTCATCTTCTCGACAGGGGGATCCGACAGAACACGGGTGTGGCTTACAGTTTGCTGCGTATAGCACTTTTCAAACTTCTTGACCTGCGTGCGGCACAACGTCAGGCGCTCTGTGACGCTGGGGTTTGCCATACACGACCGCCAGTCGGACTGCTCAAGCGCACAGTTCTCGAGCGCTGCGCGGCCGATCTGCTCCTTGCGGTCCTTGAACCCTTCCAGCACGTCCATCAACTTCTCGTGGTCACTCTTGGTCTCGTTCTCAATCTGCCCAAGCGGCTTATACGACTTCCACAGGTGCGCATAGCGGCCATCCTGGTACAGGCTCTCTGCCGGAACTGCCGGTTCTGTCTGGTCGGATTCCGTAAAGGCTCGCCGCGCGGCTTCGATTTCGGCAGCTGTGGGCTTGGGTGCTGCTATCCTGGTCGTTTTGCTACTGCTGTACTTTACGGGCGACTCCTTCTCTAGATACTCTCGCAGCTTCGGGTCAAGCTTGGCAAGCGGGTCGTCGCTCGAGGACGACGACCAGAGGCTGTTCCACCAGCCCATGGCCCCTTGCAGTGTGTGTGCGTACGTGTGCGCGCGCGCGTCGGGGCGTGGGGGAAACTCGCCGATCCTCCTGATACACCGTACTTGGCAGGTTTTTGTGTAGTTTCGATTCGATTCCTAGTGTGTCGCAAAAGCAAAGCAATCCTGTACGGTTCCTCGGTCGTACAATTTGCGCCTTCTTGCCATCGAGCTCCGCAAGCTGCCCCCCCATTTCAAAAATAAATTCCATGCGGGCCCCACAGCCGTCACGTCGAGAGGTTGCCTCGTGCTGTAGATGAGGGCACGCCAGCCAAGCAATGTCGTTTTTTGTCGGCCATAGGGGAAATCGGGGCAGAGACTTGATAATCCATACTTCATCATCGTGATTACAGATCCAATGGCCTGCTACGATGTGCCCTGTGCACTCACTACGTGTTTCCATCGCGGGGTACATCAGCTAATGTCGCATGTGATCCGCATCAAGTTTGCGTTGCGTATCGGTATTAAAGAGCAATGCTCCGATGGCAGCCAACTGATCAATGAGTGCAAAGCTGCGGCATCTAGGAGGTTTTCAGAATGTTGTTCTCATTTCACGTTACATTACTCATAACACTTCTTGTTTTGTTTTGGCTGGCCTTCGCACTTGACTCGTGGTGATGCTTGTGCGTGTGGTTCAGAAGCCCTGCCAGTCAAATCCGACATATTTTGTCCCTCAAACCACATCTTCTGCTTTGGGGGTTTGCGCTTTGGAGAGGGGCGCTTCGGCACCCCGTCCGAGGTCGTTGCTCTCGTTGCTGTCCATAAAGACCGGTAGGCTTCGCTTGTTGCGGACGTCGTGGCTGAGCTGAAAACTTGGAACTTGTGAAAAGCAGATAGATGCTTGGTATTCCTTTTATTTTTCAATTCTACCGGCACGACATTGATTTTTTTGTCGAGGCAGAACCTTTTCAACCGCCTGTTCCGAATCTGCTAATGGTGAAGAATCCTCATGGAACGACAACGCCAGTGATGCCCGAGAAATATCCCCAAATTTAAAACTTGCTGAACTTCTTCACGCCCTTGCCGGTTCTGGGAAGCACGCGGAGAACGTTGAAACGGACCTGCGCATAGCATGTTAGTGTCAGAATATCATGTAGGGCGGTCTAACTCCTCTATTGACAAGTCTTGTCGTCGTGAAAAATTGTCCTGGAGGCACGTACAGTCTTGCTGAGAGGCCGGCACTGGCCGACAGTAACCTGGTCACCCTCCTGGACACGGAAAGCGGGCGAGACGTGCGCCGCCAGGTTCTTGTGTCGCTTCTCGTAACGGGCGTACTTGGGAATGAAGTGGAGGTACTCGCGACGGATGATGATAGTGCGGTGCATCTTGGTAGAGACGACGGTGCCGGTCAGGATACGGCCACGGATCGAGACGAGGCCGGTGAAGGGGCACTTCTTGTCTGTGAAGAGTAACAGTCCTTAGTCAGCCCGCAGTTCCTCTGCAACAACAATATTTTCCCATGCGCATCGAGAAGATCCCGAGATCCGCAGTCCTCGCAATGCTGTTGATGCTTTTGCGCATTTTCCGTGTCGTTGTGACGTGGGGATGCGCCGTGCTGAGAGCCCTGGAGAGAAACTTCGATTTCGTGGTTGGTTGTCGCATGATCCTCCCAATCCTCTGCCATTCCTTCCCGATTCCGAAAGAGAACAACGCGCCTATGCAGCGTCACGTACCGATGTAGGAGCCATCGATGGCGGTCTTGGGGGTTCTGAAGCCGAGACCGACGTCTTTGTAGAAACGGGTGCCCTTGCGGCCGGGCTTGGCAGCCTTGACCTTGGTCTTGGGCTTGAGACCAATGTGCGGCTGCTTGAGGAAAGCACGCTCAGACTGGACGGTCAACTCGGTAGCCATTTTTGCGATTTGTTGGTTGTCGTGATCGCAACGGGGTGGGTTATCGGTGGTTGTCGTTCGGGGATGTGTGGTTGGGTGCAAAGGTCGAGGCCCGCCCTCCAAAATTCCGGTACCAGGTCAATTTTGCAACGCCTGAATTTTGGATTTCTTTGTGGGCAGTCGCTTCCCCGTGCACCTCCAGCCTTGCAGGCTAGGAAGGTGCCTGCGCCTCATGGCAGGTGCGCATCGATGTGGCTGTGCGGATCCACCTCTAAGGGCCCCACCTCAGCTAGCTCACTGTTCTTGGCCTGACAAATTTCGATTTCACATCAGGCTGCTTGTTCTACAATTGACGGAATGCGCCTGTTGTCCGCAAGCTCTCGTTGCTGTGCTGGTGTGTGCTCAATTGAGGGCACCCGCCTCGAAGTCTGCTTTGAGCCATCAATTTTACTCTCCGCCTTCCCAGCTATTGGGCACTGATCCTGTGCTCGTTGGACTTACACATCTTTCTTGCTTACGTAACCTTGAGTCGCGTTATGATCAGTCGCCCGAGGCGGACCAATCAATAAATGACGCATTTTCTTACCTTCGCCCACAGTACGAGTAGAGAAAATGCGTCGCTTTTTGTTTGGGCCACCTGTCACCTTACACTTCATCGCATAACTGTGCACGCATTCCATTCGACCCCCTCAAGCTTCCTTGAGCACATGCTGGCTCCCACTGGTGCAAGTAAGGGGGTGGGGCTACTGCCATGATTGTTGTTGACTTCCAACTGGGTAGCCAATCAACAGAACATGCTACTGCCCATGCCACAGTGCACCCCATGCGTTAAGGCAGAGACGCGCTCCCCGCCATCATTTGCATGTGCGTCGCGTGCCTCCACCATTAAAGTGCAATGATGCCACCATCCACCAACACCTGTTTGCGATAGACGCTCGGCACCCTGCACAACGCCATACAGCCTACGATCACTTGTCACAATGGCTGGCCGGGCAGATACAACATTGCCTACTACCAGGCGCCCTCGCAAATCCACAGGTCATTCCCCTGTGCGCAAGAGGATAGAGAAGGAAAACATCACGGTCGACATGGCGAGCTCCTTGGCTGGTAATGCCGGCCGCAAGAAGCTACGCAGCAAGAGTATAGGTCCAGGAGGGCTGGACGGACTCAAGGCAGGTGCAGGCAACCGTCGTGTTGTAAGTGTTCTTGCACGTAAAACATGTTCATCTGCTGACTCTGCGCAAATAGTCGCTGGCTGCGCCCTCAAGGCCACCTCCCAGATCAATCCTCAAGCCGACGATACCGGTGCTGCCCGAGATACCGCCTCATAAGCCTCGGCCGAAGGGCTCCGACAAATCCCAACATGATACTCCGACCACGTCAGGGACAAAAGTTGCTTTGCGAACAGAGGAGGAACAGCAAGCCGCAGCTCGGGAGCGAGAAGAGCGCGAGAAGGCTGTTGAGAAAGAGAAGGAGATAAGCGACCGGCGCGACGCACGGAGGAAATCGCTAGCAAACCGCAGAGTCTCTTTCGCCGCGGAGGCCACGCTCCATACCTTCCACGAAATTGAATACATGCAGAACGCGAGTGCTGCTAACAATTCGTTACGTAAGGCGTCATCTTCGGCGTCGCGCTCGCAAGCTCAACAAGACGAGCAAGATCC